CAAAAATCAAAAATAAAAAAAATATTAATTAAAAAAACAAAGACTAAATTTAATATAAAAATAAATGAAAATCAAATTGTGAGAGATAAAATTTAAAATAAAATTTAATAAAAAAATAAAAAAAATAAATAATAGTCAAAATAATAAAGATTAAATTTAATATAAATAAAAATAAAAATAAGTGAAATTAAAAAAAAAATAATTTAAAATAAATATTAATAAAAAAATTATATTAAAAAATATATATATATATTGTGGCCAAAAAAGAAAAGATAAAGGAGAGAGAAGGAAACATACCCCTCAAATCCCAACCACCAAGTAGCCATGTATATGCGCAACACTAAAGAAAAAAGTACGGTAAAAATATTTTAATGTTATTTGTAAAGGTGATATCTGGAAGTGAAATGACGTTGCATCACTTTTTTAAAAAAATAATATGCAAATCAATTAAAAGATCAAATTGCTCATGTTAATTTATTTGTAAAAGAAATATTAAAAAAACAAAAAAAAAAAACCTTGAATGCACGCTAAATCATTTTTGTTTTTAAGTGTATTGTTTTTTAAACATAATAAGACATAATTAACTCCAGTCAATATCTTTTTTTTAGGATAATATAGTTATTATACTATATATTTAAAAATTAAAAAAATTAAATTATCTGCAACTAATTCTACAGTGACTAATGAACCTTTAAAAAAATATCTCATTTTTTGTTTGTTTGTTGAAATGACAAAATAGTTCTACGCTATTGCCGTGAAGACTAATATGTGTTCATGTGCACAGTAAACTCACCATGGCTTTTAGTTTTTTTTTTTTTAATTTAATTTAATTAATTCGACGCTGGTGCAATTGAATGTGAGCACAAAAGACACGAGTATGAACCATGGAGTCACCATGTTGCTGAAAAGCAACGTGTGAAAGGATCTGAAATAGCAAGTAACTGCTTCCAAAGAGTTGCCATTTACAATCACGTAGAGGATGCAAGATTGTCTCTTAGTCTTCTAAATGTGGTCGTTCCGTTTTAATTATTTTTTAAAATATTTTTTTTAAAGTATTTTTTATTTAGAAAAATTTTAAAATAATTTTTTTTGTATTTTAAAAATTATTTTTGATATTAGTATATCAAAATATTAAAAAATATTATTTTTTTTTAAAAAAAAAAGAAATCTCAACACACCCCATGCTAATAGCAACAGTATCAACCGACAACAGAGCATGTAGTCGAAAGATTTCCCATGCACGATGTCCCGAAATGATATGGCTACCAGTAAGTTTTTATAGTATCGAAGTGGATGCGAAGACAGTCCTCTATCGAACTAGAGTCACCTATGCCCATCCCTAATCTTCTCGGTATGACCATCCTTAAAAAAGACAAAAGGCCATACAAATGAGCTTTCAGGAGGCTATTTGACAGGAACAAGGATGCGATAGGGAGTCTCTGTGTACTTTTGTCCTGAAAAATCCATACCCATAGTTTATCCACTGCTTGAATGATATCCCAGCACAACTTTCCGAACTTATTAATGATGTTATAATCCCTTGCCATTTGAAGAGCTTGCTTTTGGCATGCGAAGAGATTGCTTGGAGCTGTGGTTAAACTGTAATTTTATATTTTTTTATTGTGTTTCTGCTTTAATTTGCTCACATCTTTTTTTTTTTATATATGATTTTTTTAATTCGAAGTTAAAAGATATACTCAGATCAATTTGTAAGACAATCAAAGGTTTTTTTTTTCTTTTTTAATGAAATGATATTTAAAATGCATTTCTCTATATTTAGGGAGTGGTTGGAATATACTTTTGAGAAAAAAATTATTTTTTTGTTTTAAATTATTATTTTTTAAAATAATTTAAATATGCTGATATTAAAAATAAATTTTTAAAAATAAAAAATATTATTTTAAAATATTTTCAACCAAAAATTATTTTTAAAACACATCTGTCACACTGCATTTCCAATTAAAAAATTACTTTAAAAACAATATCTATTACATTCTGCATTTCCAATAAAAATTTACTTTAAAAACAATATCTATTACATTCTTTAACAGTTACTCAATATGTGTTTGGTATTGTAATGTATAATGTTTGTTTTAAATATTTTTTTTTAAATATTTAAAACAAACATTATACATTATAAACATTAAAATAATTTATTTTCAGATTTTTTTATTTTTTAATATCAACACAAAAAAATTAATAAAGAATTAAATTAATATTTTTTAAGTGAGATATTTTTTTAAAACACACTTTAAAAATAATCGTACTGTTAAACACTTGATTAATTTATTGCACTCGGCATAGTCTAATAAAAAATATAAGAAAAATGAGATAATTCTTAAATTTAAACTTGTACCACGTAGCAGGCAGACCATACAAGGCATGAACCAACAAATAATTGAAAATCTAAAAATACATTAAATGCAAGATCATCAAGGTATGCATCCATGGCCATCACCAATGACACGATAACAGGTAATTTAACAGCGTGAGATGTGCAGAATTGGAGCTACGTGATCTGTCCGCTACAAAAACTCTCGAGGAGAAGAGTATCCTGTGATGCCATCAAGACAACGGACAATTAATTGCCAACAATCTTGTTTCTCGGGTTTCTTAATGAGAACCACTTTCGATCAGCTCCCTTGATTATTATTTCGTCTTCTGCGCTGTAATCCTGAAAGAGCCTTCAGATTAAACAGGCAGCTCGAGTTGAGCTGGTAAAAGTTTTGGCAAGAACCAGGTATAGGGTTTCAACCGATGAATAGAATAGTGTGTTGGGTTTTTGGCTCACCCATTTACACGCAAAGTTTTTCTTTGTTTACAGTTACCTAAGCGGTGTATGGCTGTTAAAGGATCATAGAAGCTGCAACGTTGATTGCCTATGGTGAAAACTTGGAGTGTTGAGGGTTATACCAACATAATCAAGGACGTAACCCAGATTCGGCCAAACTCAAGCTCATAGTTATCAGACCTCGTCCAACACGTTAATGGTTTGTTAGTCGGTCAACTCATGAGCCAACGGATCAGTTTAGGTCTGCCATGAAACACAGTGGTTTTGGATTTTTAAGTAAAAACCTTGTTTTGGGCAATTTCTTTTTTTTGAAATAAAATAATTTAAGTCACTTGAGTTAGGCAGGATCAATCGGATCTTAGGTTAATCTGTTGAGTTCCCCATGTTTAATTGGATTTCTAAACAAGTCAAAAAATATCCTATCTAGATTAGATTCCAGATCAACGAGTCATAACTCTACCCACCGAGCCAAGGTAAACTTGACAACCATGCTTGAGATTACCCAGTGTAGTTTTTCTTTCCCTCCATTATTTGGAAAATTGTCATTTTTTCTCCTAGAGTCTTCAATCGTTCAAAGGAGGAAAGTCCCTTTGAAAATAAAAAAGGCTTTTTTGAAACAAAAGTAAACGCAACATCTACTCTCGCAATTTTTAAAATCACCTTATCTGGCTTTGAAGATCTCTAAAATTGGCCATAGGCTTTTAATGGCTTTTTTTTTTAACCGAAACTTCTCTTCAGGTCCGAAGACAGAAAAAGACAGGTAAAAATACCAAGGATTCCTTGAATTCTCGGGCTGTGATTTTCTCACGGTAGGGATAGAAGTCAACCCATCATCTAACAAGATTATGGCCCTATCCAGCTTACAATAAGTCTCTTCTATAATCTAGAGGGCCTCTTACCACCGTAGGCTTTTTGAGACCAGCCCACGAGAACATGAACTGTCAATGGAACAAATTATACACAATCTTCATGACAACTGTTTGGCAACATTTTGGTGCTTGACATTTCTTTTTTACATACAAAACAGCAAAAGAAAATCATAAACTCCAATATTATTTCTTAAGAAGATTATTATCATTTATAATTTATCAAATTTTTAAACCCAAATTCTGCTACCTCAACTACCATTATGAAAAGTTGGCTGGTGAGCCAACCCTCACGGAATAGACACAACACCCTGTGGAGCGAAGTAGATGTTTCATGATAGTATATGCCTCTTAGTCTGCATTTTCCATTCGAGTGGACCACTCATCGGGTATGCGCCACCATATCTTTACCAGACTTCAGGTGTTGAATGAGCCTTAGGACACCGAAAACAGCAAGATCAACTAAACTGGGTTTAAAGCCACCTATTAAGAATTACCCAGTGTAGTTTTTCTTTCCCTCCCTTTATTATTTGGAAAATTGTCATTTTTTCTACTAGAGTCTTCAATCGTTCAAAGGAGGAAAGCCCCTTTGAAAATAAAAAAGGAAACTTATTTTGGATATTGTTTTTTGAAACAAAAGTAAACGCAACAGCTACTCTCGCAATTTTTAAAATCACTTTATTTGGCTTTGAAAATCTCTAAAATTGGTCATAGGCTTTTAATGGTTTTTTTTTTTAACCGAAACTTCTTTTCAGATCCGAAGACAGACAAAGACAGGTAAAAATACAAAGGATTCCTTGAATTCTCGGGCTTTGATTTTCTCACGGTCGGGATAGAAGTATACCCATCATCTAACAAGATCATGGCCTTATCCAGCTTACAAACAGTCTCTTCTATAATCTAGAAGGCCTCTTACCACCGTAGGCTTTTAGAGACCAACCCACGAGAACATGAACTGTCGATGGAACAAACTATCCACAATCTTCATGACAACTGTGTCTGGCAACATTTTGGTGCACGACATTTCTTTTTTACATACAAAACAGCAAAAGAAAATCATAAACTCCAATATTATTTCTTAAGAAGATTATTATCATTTATAATTTATCAAATTTTTAAACCCAAATTCTGCTACCTCAACTACCATTATGAAAAGTTGGCTGGTGAGCCAACCCTCACGGAATAGACACAACACCCTGTGGAGCGAAGTAGATGCTTCGTGATAGTATATGCCTCTTAGTCTGCATTTTCCATTCGAGTGGACCACTCATCGGGTATGCGCCACCATATCTTTACCAGACTTCAGGTGTTGAATGAGCCTTAGGACACCGAAAACAGCAAGATCAACTAAACTGGGTTAAAAGCCACCTATTAAGAAATACAACAGAACAGTTGATGGCTCTGACAGAAGGCCAAGTCTCATATCTTGACACTAAACAGCGAGCAAGATCATCATCGGAGAAAAAAGAAATAATGACCAAGATATTCATGAATCGCAACTTTTCAGAGTTTCTACCCATTCGTCAGTAATGTTATGTTTCTTCATCAGTTCTCTTTGACATAAAGTACATTACAGCTCCTGCATACTAGCTACCAACCTCTCAGTGAAGCTGAAATTGCCTGAATTTGTCGGGGAGGATCATAAGAGAATAACAGTTAGCTTAAACTAAGGATTCTAAACAAAATGATGTAAAAGCTCAACCAAACAAAACACCATCAAGATGGTTCGAGTAAAAAATTATAATGCTGTAAGCCTAAATATCCTACCATGGGTGGTGATCTAGTCGAATGATTCAAGAACTTCAGGAGTTGATCGATATGTTTGGCGACAAAACATGCACCAAGTGATTGTCCACCCACCCACATCACAAGTCTTTGCAACATCAATTTTCAAATATTATTTGCCAAAGCGAAGTGTAGCAGCAAATGAAAACATGTGATTATACCAGAAATGTTTGAATCTGTGGCAACAAGCAATTTGTAAAAACAAGATACCATAGCACGGACACAAATAACTTGTTTATATAATCGCTAACGTAGATTTTTGAGCCAGTAAATGCCTAAAAAATTAAGTGTAAGAAATGCAACAATACTAGCACCATTTCCTGTCTTCGTTACTGTCAGGAACAGAGTAGTCTGGATGTATCCTTAGAAAAAATTTATCAATCATGCCTATAAACATAAAGCACGTAAGTTTACAAGAATAGTAAAATAAATAAAGCATATAAATTTGGTGTTCATTTCTCTGGCCTCCACCACACAAGAACCAGCTGTTTAACCACAGAAAATCGAAGGAAAAAACACAATGGTAATTGGCGAGGAAAATGTCCAAATACATGAAGGATCAAACATACTGCAGGTCGTAGATATGGACCCGTAACTTAACATCTCAAACCAACTCTACAGCCTGCAACAGAACTGAAAACAATCACCCCCATCAACCTTTTAAACTGGCATCCATCTTGATTGATAGGTTATGAATCCTAGAGAGCATAGTCATGTACCTATTCAAATGCCTTCACAGAAAAGCAGCTACACGCATTTGTTAAAATACATTGTTTGTAAGAAGATACTTCCAACAGCAGAAAAACCCCCCCGCCTCAAAATGAATGCCTTTTAGTATGACAAAAACAAAATACACAGGTAAATTTGGTTCTACCCCATTAAATTTACATCCCCAATGTGACAATAGAGCAGAAAACAACCTGAAAAATTGGATAATATAGCAAATTTCTCATCTTCGTTCATTCTTATCAACCAAACAGGTTTAGTTTTTAGTGAAAAATCTTGTAGAATCAGAAACAAAGAGTAAAATTTTCAACTTCATTTTCTAAAATCTTGTAGAATCAGAAACAAAGAGTCAGACGAAAAAAAGAGTAAAATTTTCAACTTCATTTTTTAAACCTTCCTCCATTTCAAAATTCTTCATTTTCTTGGAATTCCCACTTAATTCACCTCAAAATTGATTTCAAGGCAACGAAACAAGGTAAACAATTTCCTTGTTGCTCCACTACAAAGCCGAAAATAGAGTGTCTTTAACCTTGTTGCCCAAAGGGCAAGCTTCGTACTGGTAAAGAACAACGTCCTGAGGTATCAATTTCTCCGCCGGCAACGCTTCCTTAGCGGGCACCTCTTGCATCAAGAGGAAGCCGTGACAGAGAAAAAAACAGTGCCAGCAACACCACGCACGACGCAGGGGTTCGATATCCCAAAACAATAAGCTATTCTCCAAGAGAAACTCTGAGACTTTGAGGCTGCGTGAGTGCTCATCACTGCTGCTCCTTGACCCACCTGGGGATGAGGAGCCGCGCTGAAAATGGCTCGGCTCAGGGCGGTTAGCTGATTGAGAAAATTTTATTGTGCTTATCAGGAAATTAGTTCGCTATCAGGTAAAAATTAAAAATTTTATTGTGCTCATCACTGCTTATCATTGGGTTGGTCTTAAAAAATTAAAAATAAATAGATATAAAAAATAAATTCTTGATCTATATAAAATAATAAAAATATTTTTTAAAGAATTTTTTGTATTTATTTGTTTTAAATAAATTCATGAGATAACTAATACAATATTATTAATTATTTTATAAATATTATAGAATTTTTCTTTGAAGAACTCTCGTTTTTTAAAGTTTATTAGGTGTTTTTATAAATGATTAGAGATTGTAATTAATAATTAAGCACATCTTTAATGCTTAATATATGGATGAAAGTAAAAATGTTTTACGCAAACTTGAAAAGTAATTGTTATGCATTATTTATGTTGGAAAATTACCGAACCGGTTCGATTGCTACAAATGCTATACCTTTGTTGAGTGAAACTAAACATTTAAATGTTGAGTTTGTCTCGTTATAGTTGAGCCTAGTCCTCAATTAA